CAACATTTAACGCTAATTCGAAGCGACGGGTCGCCTGTTCTATTCCCGGCCGTTGCAGCAGGCGTCTGAACTCCGGGTGCTGCCCGAATGGAAACGTACTAAATAATATTCATTAATAAAATTAAGTCTTTTACTAGTTTAGTAAAAACTATAATACAAGGATATTTTTTTTATTTTTTTTATTGCTTGTATGAATGGACGAGCTCACAGCCCACCTGGTGTTAAGTGGTTACCGGAGTCCATAGACATCTACGACGTGAATGCGCCACCCACCTTGAGATATAAGTTCTAAGATCTCAAGTATAGTTACAACGGCTGTCCCACCCTTCAAACCGAAACGCATTACTGCTTCACGGCAGAAATAGGCATAGTGGTGGTACCTATCCGCGCGGACTCACAAGAGGTCCTACCACCAGTCAATGAAGAGACAAAAAATATATTACACGAATTTATGGGGTTCTTTAACAATGTAAAATGCGTTTCAGTTTAAAACAGCATAGACATAACGAAGATCAGTTAAAATCTCATTTTTTCCCCCAACCTATTCGCTAGTAGTCTAAGAGGCTATTCCAGCTACGGACGGATGGATAAGTAAGCTCAAGGGCTCAACCTGAGAGAGCTTACTGATACTAGCCAATGCAAGAATAGTGCTTCGCAGAATCTACCACCGGATCGGAATCGCGACCCACTATGAAGATCCGGCGAGAAACTCAATGGGCTGTGTCTATGGGTTTTCAGAATAAGTAACACATTCTTGGCCAGTATTGAAGATTCCATTTAAGTGATCTTAAGACGGATATGCGAATTTAGTTGTGATTACACTTAAATAGATAACTGGGAACAAATCACGCACGGTCATCCGGTCCTAAATTAGGACCACTGTGCTATGTGTACCAGGGACTGACATACATACTTAAGCACGTTTAAATATATACATATATAGATAACAAGCGGTCCGCTCCGACTCCACTCGGGTCTTTAACAAAAATTTCAACAATATTTGACGTTGTTTATTTTTTTAAATAAAAAAACACTTATTGGGACATAACTACAATAGTTAGATACATGCTGTCGCGACATTTTTTGTAAATAATAATGTGTTCTACAAAGTCGTAGTACATTATTTTATTCTATCATCAATAGTTTTCGCAGGGCACGCGATGTAAAGAATATTTTAGGTAATTTTTTTACATCTTGGGTTACATTATAGAAGTTTTAGTAAGGATCCCTAATTTTTTTCAAAAAGATTATAGCCTATGTCACTCGGGAATAGTGTAGCTTCCAAACAGTGAAATAATTTTTCAAATCGGTTCAGTAGTTTCGGAGCCTATTCAGTATTGAATTATAAAAAATATATTTTAAAAAATATTTAAATTAAAAATATTTACTAACAATCACGCCACGTTAACTGGTCCCGTGCTAAGTTCGTAAAGAACTTGTGTTACAAGTACCAGATAACGGAAATAAATATAATATTTTTATTATACACATACATATATTTAATATACACCCATAACCCTGGAAAGACATTTATATTTATCATACAAATATCTTCCCTTGGCGGGATTCGAACCCGCGACCCCCTTGTGTAGTGACCATGTCACTTACCACTACACCAGACGGCCGTTTAAATTTTTGTTTGTTTGTTTATACAAACAAACAAACAAATCTTTACTCTTTATAATATTAGTATAGAAGTATAGAGAAGCACCCAGAAATAGAACAAACAAACATGTTTATCACACGAATGTTTTCTGGATGTGGGAATAGAACCCAAGAACCCTCGACACAACAGTCAGGAGGGCTGTCTACTGTTCGTCAGTCACTTAAGCGACGCGTAGTCTGATCATTGGTCAGTGCCGAGTAAAGTCTGCGACCTTTTCATGTCTAAGTCACTTTATATGTTCAGACGGGAATTTGGCACTAACAACACTCGTCGTAACAAGCCTCGTTCCAAACATCGTGCAAATTAATAATGACAACACTACAAGACATCAATGAAATAGAAATTCGATTTATTCAATTATTTATTATTAGCTTTTGCCCGTGAATGTTCTGTTCCACGTGGAATAGTTACTTTGGCATAACGTTAAATTTTACCCGCCTCTTCATTTACGTACTTAACTTAACTTAAACTTTAACCGTTTCCGCAGCGCACGCAGTGGAAGTTCTCAAAAGGGCTTAAAACCCTGATTTTGAAACATTCTTTGTTGGTGCTCCGCTTGCATTAGACTTAGCGTAATGTTATATAGCCTATAGCCTTCCTCGATAAATGGGCTATCTAACACTGAAAGAATTTTTCAAATCGGACCAGTAAGTAGTCCTTGAGATTAGCGCGTTCAAACAAACAAACAAACTCTTCAGTTTGTAATATTAATATAGATAACACTTTTACTATCTTGATCGGTATCGTTTCTTCTATCGAACCTGCATCTGTGTAACTCTTTCTCTATATTACAATTTAATTGTGGCAAACTCAAAGAAGTTCGATTATGAAAATTTGCACACGATTCAAAGACAGTAGACGAAGCAGTATTTTTTTTGTCGTATCACTCTTGTCACAGCAGCCGTGGTCGTCATTCAGTTTCATTGCTGTGGGCAGATGGTATGCGTCTCACGAGCAATCACCACTTCTCCCTGTTTGTAATACGTAAAGAAAAACTTTGTATCCCTTTTTACGAAAATTGCGCGGACGGAAGAGTATGAAATTTCCCACACTTATAGACAGTATAGAGAAGGAGTGCAGAATGTTAATTTTTTTTTTAATTATGGCTAAAAATACATTAAATCAATAAAAAAAAACAATAACCGCCAACTTCCGAGTTGACCTGGTCGGTCCATCGCATGGACAACGTTCCACATGGTATGGTGCCTTCTATTTTGCCCTAAACGACAAGGCGCTTTATGGACATTTTCCCTCAATTTTATAATACTTCATCATAATATCCTGATCGTAATTGAATTCACACAGTGCAGTGTAGCTTACCAATGTTTTTTTCGTTTACATTTTTTATTGTTATGTAGTCTAGTGTAAATAAGCAATGCAATGGTATTTTTTTTAATGGTAGCTTAAAATAATATTATGTGACTAAGGCTTGGTAATGTGGTCAAGCTCTAAGCCTACTGTAGATGTTTTCACGTATTCGTCCGGTCCAAGTTCGACTGTGGGTCGGCGTCATTTGTTCAAAAATATTTGGCGTTATTGCCTTATAATACCGAATATATTCCTCTGTTCAAACATTTGTATTGCAGGAGATAATTCTTACTTGAGGACGTAAAATTTTACGTAATCCGTACTTTTATTACGGTTACTGTTTGTATGATTGAAATTCCTATTTTTGTGATAATATGTGACGACAACCCACCACTTCAAGAAGGCGGCACGACACGAAAACCCTCTTGTCGTGGCCGCCGGAAATTACATACCCGATCCTGTAGCCAGAATGGTAAACAGTCGACGTCGTACTAAACACGTCATTACGGATCCTCCTGATCCATTAACGGTGCTTTTAGGTACCTCAAGCACCGGTCACCGTTCTCGCCGACCCCGTCGCTTGCGACGAAGGGTTCGACGATTAAATTAACCCATAGAGTTTCACGGCGGATCTTCACAGTGGGTCGCGTTTCCGATCCAGTTGTAGATTCTGCGAAGCACTGCTCTTGCTAGGGCCAGTGTTAGCAACAAACCGGTGTGAGCCCCATGAGCTCATCTACATGTCAAGGCGAAGCTGAAATATCCTTTCAGGCATTGCCAGGGGGAAAAAAAGACGAAACTTTTAACAAAATCAAATATCTACGTAGGTATTAGGAATTTCAAAAGTAGGTAACAAATCCTTCATTCACTCATTTTGGTTATGCTTAAGTATTAGATATATAGCTAAATATAATCTAGTAATAGTGACATTGAGGAATGTTCACTCTGAGGAAACTGATACTGATACTGATGGAGCTCTGAGGAAAATTAACACTCTGAGGAATTGTTAGAGATTATACCATCATCTCATTCTTACCGTCGCACCGCCCGCCACCGGAGTAGAGTTCATCCATACTACCTGGAGCCACTACGGTCATGCACTGTGCGTTTCCAGAGATCTTTTTTGCCACGTACCATCCGGCTTTGGAATGAGCTTCCCCTCCACGGTGTTTCCCGAGCGCTATGACTTGTCCTTCTTCAAACGAGGCTTGTGGAGAATACTCAACGGTAGGCAGCGACTTGGCTCTGCCCCTGGCATTGCTGAAGTCCATGGGCGACGGTAAGAAGGACAATAAAAAAAATCACGTTGACCAAATCAAAAATCATATCATGTTTTTGTGTATTCGTGTATAATCTATGAATTGTAATTATTCAAGTTTAATGAACGAAAAAATCACGATAACGGAGCTTCTATTTTTAATGATTTGTTATTTTTCCCTCTGTGCTATTTCCAAAAGAGAACCGAAAGTAATTTTCGTAAAAATTAATTTTAATAAAAATTCATAAATACGTGCCACATCTAATTCCGTTGCTCGTAAAAAAAACATACACACACACACACATACACAACAAGAAAATCAACATCCGCGTCCGTCGCGACTCCTTACGAACGAACGTAAACTTATCAAAATCAATTACTTGAAAACTTTATGTTAATTTTCGTTACCACCATAAATAATACACGTTGACGTGTCAATTATTATCCAGAAATGTTTCCCGCTCACTGTTTTTTTTTTAAACGGGCGTCTGAAGTGTTGCCACGCCTCAAGAGTCTCCAACCGCAGGTACTGTTTTGAGTTTAAAGAACTCCCACCCCGACTATCCAAAGCGTTTTATATTTTGTCATAGCCAATATACGGTTTTCTTTACAATGTATTTAGTCTGTTCCTCTATTATCGCTCTTAAACTACCGGAATAAGGTTAGTTCTGATATTCTACGGACAAAGTAGGTGTGTTTTGTGTGCTGTTTATAGGGAATTTTTTTCGTTAGCTCCACATGTTGGGATCTTGTAACGAAGCAGCCAGATTTCAGTACAGACTCCATTAGTTCGCACATTAGGATGAGTTAGTCGAATTATGTAATTAAATAAAGTAATTCAATAAGCCAGCGAATTAATAACAATTATTCGGTTTGGCCGGTCTCGATAAATGTCTAGTTGGATTGCGCACGCGCTTTGTAAAAATGTGTACGTGAATAAATATCGACGAATAAAACTGTAATTATTGTGATTAATTAGAATTTATATGTACATATTTTTAGTTTAAATTTTGCGTTCGTGTTTTGCTATGGACCAGAATAAGGGTGAGTTCAATAATTGTTTTATTATTTTCGATTTCGCTAATAATTATATAGTTTCGTTATAATCAAAGAACAGGTTATAATTTTAAGAAAACTGATATGAAATTTAAAATTATCTTATTATTCGTGTATATAGTATATCGCACTTATGTATAGTAGTTATCGTAAAATTATCGTAACGCTTTTAAAACGCGAAACAGTAAAAGGCTGAGTATTGAGCACACAATGATTGCGATTCATGATTTTATATCTTGTGAATTTTGATCGAAATGAGTCGTTTTTATATTATTGTTTAGATATATCGTCAAATGTCGTAAGTATTACCAAGTCGTGACACATTTACAGATTTATGTAGATAGTAGATAACATAACGTAGGATTTTTTATTTATTGCTTAGTTGGGTGGACGAGCTCACAGCCCACCTGGTGTTAAGTGGTTACTGGAGCCCATAGACATCTACAATGGAAAATAGGAAACTATAATAGGAATCTACAATAGGAAAAATTTAGAAGTGAACTCTGAAAAAAAGAAATTGTATTAAATCTAGTTTTCTTCTAATTTTTTTTAATGACTACTATATTTTTAATCTGCAAATTCGTTTCGCGCCAGATTATATATGGTGAAATAGGTTCACAGCATAACAACAAATGACGAAAATCATTAAATTAATGTAAATGATTATGAAACAGAAAATGATTAACAAAGTCAATTATAATTAACTATTTTGTGTTGAAATCATTATGATTCCCATACTTGTACAACTTAGAGCATTCGTTTAGCGTAATGATAATATAAAATTAATGAACAGGGAAAAGCAATTTTATATTACTAATACATTTAACCTATAAATAGGATATACTGGAACGAGTAAATTTATATGACAGTTTTTTTTTATAATTAAAACTGAACTGTTGATTGTGTTACAATATTATGTGACCGTTATATTTAATATTAGTCTCTAATGTCAATAATAGTTTTTGAGAGTTCTCAACTGTAGGCAGCGGCTTGGCTGGATAGGTACTTGGTATCTGATGGTGGAACAGCCCTCATATTATACAATAAGATTTAGATCGTTTGTCTCAAGGTGGGTGGCAGCATTTACAACGTGACGTCAATGGACGACAATAGCCACCGGACATCAGGTGGACCGTGGACCTCATTTAAGCAATAACAAAACATAGGCTAAATAGGGAAGAATAAACGGGATTTTTAAAAATTTAAAAAAAAATCTTTTTCTCGTTTATTTTCTGGTAGAAGAGGCTAATTCAGCTTCTCGCGGACGGGTATGTGAGCTCACGGGCTGAGAGAATTTGCTAACACTAGCCCTAGCAAGAGCAGTGCTTCGCAAACTTTACCACTGGATCATGACCCGCTAAGAAGAGAGAAACTCAACGGGCTGTTTAAAAGATACTAAAGGAGGTAGACACCTTGAATTTCGGGAAAATTATAAATAATAATATATTAAAATTATGTTTAATGAACTAATAAAATACGAAGGTTTCTATCCTGAGAGGAAACAGTTAAATAATTTTAGTTTTATCATTATTGTGGATAACGATTTTAATTACCTATAATACAAAAACTAAAAAGTATTAATAAACTTGATTTTCCTTGATAATGTGAGTCACTAATTCTATAATACCAATATACAAATACAAAACATAATGTTGCACTTAATTACACCAAAATAACGAAATTCGAAGTCGTCTTGGTTTAAAGGATATCTAAGACGTCCGGTGCATTCGTGTTGAGCGATGCACCGGTGTTCGAATCTCAGGCGGGTACCAATTTTTCTAATGAAATACGTACTTAATAAATGTTCACGATTGACTTCCACGGTGAAGTAATAACATCGTGTAATAAAAATCAAAGCCGCAAAATTATAATTTGCGTAATTACTGGTGGTAGGACCTCTTGTGAGTCCGGGCGGGTAGATACCACCGCCTTGCTTATTTCTGCCGTGAAGCAGTAATGCGTTTCGATTTGAAGGGTGGACAGCCGTTGTAACTGTATTGAGACCTTAGAACTCATATCTCAAGATGGGTAGCGGCATTTACGTCGTAGATGTCTATGGGCTCCAGTAACCACTTAACACCAAGTGGGCTGTGAGCTCATCCACCGTTCTAAGCAACAACAAAAAAATCAACTTATAAGGCTACTTAAAAATAAATCGATGTGCGGAAGATAGATTTCAATCTACTCATTTATGCATAATAGTTTCGCGAAGCTTTTTAAGTGCTTTTTGATTGCTTAAATCGGTGGACGAACTCACGGCTCAATTGCTGTTAAGTGGTCACCGGAGGCCACCTTGAAACATGAGTTCTAAATCTTAGTTTTATATTACAACGGTCACCCCACCCTTTAAACCGAAACTCGTTACTGCTTCACGGCAGAAATAGGCGTGTGGAGGTACCAGTAAAAGACCTGCGTCATGGGACATCTATACTAATATATAAATCTACAGTGGCCTTTACGGATGTTCCGTTATAACTGCTGAACCATGAATCCGATCGACTTGAAACTTGGTATCCGTGTAGAAAATACATGTACTTAATGGATAGGCTAATATTTATATGAGCATTGGACTCTCTACACCAGTTGCGGGGGCGTTAATGACGAGAATCTTTGTGGGGGTGAGAAATGATAATGTTAATTTTAAATGCCCAACGAAGCGGACGGCCACATCTAGTCTCTTATATAGTTGCGCAGACTTCTATCTTATAAAAAAAAAACTTTGTTGCGAAAATATGTTATTCCAATTCGCAAACTGCGATTCTACAGTGCATCGTAGTGTAATCAATAGCGTACGTTTTCAGAGAGCAACCATGTGAACAAAGATTCACACACAATATTCTACTGTATTATCATGGAGGTACATCAGCCGCCGCGCCCGTGCGTGCTCTGATATGAAACTAAATGCGGCTTTGTCTGAACAGATTTTATCAACAAACCTACATTGTATGAGGAGTGCTCAATAAATAGTCGTAATGCGCTACATTCTTCTTGGAAAGAAAATAAGTAAATAAATAAATACTTGCAGGCATAGTTCGGACATTAGGCATTAGCTAGGACAAAAACAATCAATAATCTTTTGTTTTTTTAAAAATAGAAGTCATTTATTTGCGTCGTGTCAGACCGTGTTCTTAAAACTGCATCAACATTGGAGTTCGCGCGGTAATAAAATATCCCTGCTTGAAAAAAATTACTACGGAGCTGGTAAATCAAGACTTGAGAGCAACATTTGGGGTTCATGATCCTCCATATTCTGTTCCGCGTTGGTGTGCTTAGTTCAAGCGAGGAAGAACTTCTATTGACGACGATCCCCACACAGGACACCCTACATTAGTAGTGACTGAACAAATGATTAAAAAAAATTAAAACATTGTCTTGGTGGATCGTCGTGTTGCCGCTGCTTGTTTTATAGCAGAAGGAATGAAGATTTCTATAAGAAGTGTCCATAATATTTATTATACAGAACCATTTGGGCGTGAAAAATATGGCAGCGCGCTATATACCCAGAATTCGTTCAGACGTATAGAAACAAATGAGACTGAGAATTTAACAAAGTTGTTTTGGTTTGTTACAACAAGATCTCAATCGGCTTATGGCTCAATTCATGACTATGGGTGGAAAAAACAGTCCATGACTTCGAAAAGACCGTTGTTTCCAACTCCAAAGAAATTTAAGGCGATTTCATCCACTAGTAAGATCATGGGCCTTTGGACTGGAGTGGTAAGATATCTTAGTTATAGAACCTTTATTACGGAGACTTTGTACGCAGGACAAATAACAAAGCTGCGTGAGGAAATACGCTAGGAACGGGTGGGAAATTCGGTAAAGTTGTTTTGTATCACCAAGATCACACCCCCGCGCATAAGTCCAGTGTTGCTATGGGTACCATTCAAGAAACTGGCTTCGAATTGATGGAACATCCTCCATATAATATATATACACATATGTTTAAGTAATATCACCTTTACACTACACCTACCAAGCTTCATCTCTGCACTCCCCTAAGGTAGACTGTTAGAGAATGCCTATGGCATTAAGTCCGCCTTTATACTTTCTAGTATAAGAAGTTATAAAAAAAAAAAAAAACATATTCACCGGACCTAGCAACTAGTGATTTCCACCTATTTTCGGGATTAAAGGAACATTTTAGTGGCCATACATTTAAAGATGATGACGCAGTAGTCGCCGCGGTACACGATTTTTAAGAGATCAGGAAGATTTTTTTAAAGGCCATTTTAAGCGTTTGTGAAAGATATACAAAATGTATAGACCTGAAAGATGACTACGTCGAAAAATAAAAGAAAATTGCGGCATACATACTCATTCACTTTTTATTGAAAATCCCTAATTAAGCTTAAAGTAAATTAGGGGAAACTCATTTAATTGTAGGTAAATTTATTTGTAGATAATTAAATTAATTTACAAAATTAAATTAATTTAAGGATGTCTATAACGTTTTATTTTATACCACTTATAGATAGCGATGTCTATAATTTTTGTTAATTAATTCTTTTTTGTAAAGAGGAATATGATTTTGCTTATCGGAATGCAATGTAGGGACAAAGTAAACTTTCCAAATTAAGTATTTTAGGAATTCATATTGTTGTTTCCTTGATTAGTTAATAATACCATTATTTTATTGGGCACTGTGTCGTTTAGGTCATTAATAAAATTTATATTTTACCTTCTAATGTAAGTATATTCGTTTTTGTTGAATAAATAAAAACACATTTGATTTATCATTTAACATTTCCCGCAGATGGCATCAACGGTGGTTTAAACGGTACGACTAGAAGCTACGAAGCGAAAAGCCAAGCTGCAGTCAACTATAACGCGGCTCCTGGGTCCTACGAAAACAATCACAATCTGTTCCAGATGATAAAGTGCCACGAAGACAGCCTCATACGTCTACACCAACTGACGGCTGGACGCCAAATGAATGGATCTTATGAACCGACATATCAAAATGACTTGACGTGGTACCCAAAAGACCTACAGCGCCAATTCATCAAACCTGTAGATTACTTAGCCTACGAAGACATGCGACGGAAATACGAAGAAGGAAAAAATGGAAAAGAGAAGGAGTTGCAGAAAGAATGCGATGAAAATAAGGACGGGAAATCAGACGAGAGGAAAAAGCCGAGAAGAAACCGAACCACTTTTACTAGCCAGCAATTGGCTGCCTTAGAAAAAGTGTTTGAAAAAACGCACTATCCCGATGCTTTTGTTAGGGAAGATTTAGCAGCGAGAGTCAGTTTAACAGAAGCAAGAGTGCAAGTTAGTGTTTATTAAACTTTTTTTTTTCAATAATTAACATTCTGTACTAATTTTAACGGGTGTCTCTTTCAATAGGTGTGGTTTCAGAACCGTCGTGCGAAGTTCCGAAGAAACGAAAGATCAGCCCTCTCAAATCACCGGAGTTCAACCAGTCAGAATTCACCAGAGCCTATGGCTGTTCCAATCGGCATTCCTCATCAACCAGACCCGAGACAAGAATTCGCCCGAAATAAAGAACCGTGGCTACATCATTTTCAAACTAACAATTTGAATTTAAATTTAGGACTGCCAATAACGAATACAGGACTGTATCAGAACGATTATTCTTTGATGATGCAGAACGTTGGTAACAGACCATACGTGCCCAACACAAATGGGTTTATGGGCCAAAGTGTTGTAGGTTATAGCGGAGGCGAAAATGCATACAGTTCATGCGGTATTATCGGGGGCTATAATGGATCGTTGTCTTCATCGCACAGTTCATACAATTTGAATTTAAGATTGAGACCACACGATTTCAGCATAAATAATTTGACTTTGTGATAAAAACAAGACTGAAATTATAAACTAAACACACTACGTTTACAACATGAGACTCTCATGACGTGACTGCTGTTGGAAAGTCAAAATGCAAAAGATCGAAATAATCTAAATTTGGCCGATCTTTATTAGCTAGCTATGCCACGATCTTGCCGTGTAGTTTCAGGATAACGCAAAAAATCTAATAATCATAACTGTGGTTAATATTGTTAAAATACAATATGTGCGTGTATGTTGCTAGTGAATATTATCAAACAGTTTACCTGTTACTTTTTTAATATTTGTGATCATAAAATGGCTATTCAATAGGTACCTATAGGCTAGGTTTTATTAAATATTGCATAACAGAATTGAGGTAAGCAACTTAAAGTTAATATACCAGGATGATTCAAATACAATCAATACTATCTTTTTTTTGTTCCTTACTATGCTGATAGCCTTGAGAGGCTATTTCAGCTTCGCCCTAACATGTAGTAGTATAGGTGAGTTCACGGGGCTCAAACCTGACGACGCCGACGTTGCTAACACGAACCTTAGCAAGAGCCGTGCTCCGCAGAATCTACCACCGGATCGGAAACGCGACCCATGAGAAGATCTGGCGAGAAACTTAGTGGACTGTGTCTGTGGGTTAATTTACTCGTCGAGCTCTTCGTCGCGAGCGACGGGTTCGACGAGAACGATGACCGGTCAATACTATCAATTTACTTATAGTCGTATAGTAATAATAATAAGACGGTCGAAATCCAAACATAGACAAATTTGTTCTAATAGAATACCGACAAAATCTTTGAATTGTATTAATATACCTAACGATAACATAAGAAATATGTACACAGGGATTTTTAGCCAATATCTTTTGATTTAATAAACCAATTTTGATGAAAGGAACAATAAATGTTATTCTGAATACTCTACCATGACTATAACTCCTTACATTTAAAAAAAAATAAAGGGGAAATTGAATCAAACGTGATGCTCGTGGAAACAAGTAGGTACAGAAAATGGCAAACAAAAAAAAATCAAAAACATTTTGTTTTCGTTCTACTGCTCATTGTTTTTCGCTACTCCATAGCTGCTTTTATGCAAAAACGGTTAATGTACAAACGCAATGTATTGTATTAAATGTATGAATATGAAAATACTTCTTTATGTAAGTAAAGTGGACTTTTGGCGGGAACGCGAGGAGCGAAGTATACAGCGATATAGTGTTTTGCTGGCTTAAATGTGCAATAACGGTGGTTTATTTACTGCTTAGCACAACTAAGCTTACACTAAAAGCTGTACGTATAACTTGTTTTTTTTTTTTCCTACCTAAGCTGATAGCCTTGAGTGGCTATTTCAGCGTAACCGTGGCTAGTAGGTGAGCTCACGGGGCTCAAACCTGATGACGATGCTAACACGAACCCTAGCAAGAGCCGTGCTTCGCAGAATCTACCACCGGATCGGAAACGCGACCCACTGAGAAGATCCGGCGAGAAACTCAGTGGGCTGTGTCTGTGGGTTAATTTACTCGTCGAGCCCTTCGTCGCAAGCGACGGGTTCGACGAGAACGGTGACCGGTGCTTGAAGTACCTAAAAGCACCGTTAGTGGATCGGGAGGATCCGAGATGACGTGTTTTGGGCGACGTCGACTGCTTTCCATTCTGTCCGCAGGATCGGGAATGAGGAACTTGAAGGTTCATTACAAAATTATGTAAACGAGAAGTTTCCATGAAAAGCCATAGTGTTTGCAATAATCTGATTAAATTGACGTGGATATGAAGTACAGAATATGAAAGTTAAATACTTATAAGAGTCTATTTATTTCCAAAAATTTTATTACCGAGCATACAATTTGGTTAGTTCTGAAATAAATTTTGTTAAAAAGAATATATCATATTTATTTATTAGGTACATTAAGAATTAATTACTCAGTGAGCATTCATTTAGACATGAATAAAATAACATTTTATTGATATAAAGTTTTACTTACAATTTTGTGATTTATTTGTCTATTTACTGTTCTTCAGGTTTAAATGTGTATTAACGGTGGTTTATTAACTGTTTAGTATCTGTGAAAGTGCACAGATGTGGGAAAGCGGATGTTTAGCGGTAGGCAGCGGCTTGGCTCTGCCCCTGGCATTGCTGATGTCCATAAGCGATGGTAACCACTTACAATCAGGTGGGCCGTATGCTCGTCTGCCTGCTCGGGCAACAAGAAAAAATTAAATAAAGCCGCTGGACGTAGTTTCTCTGGATCCTCCTAAAAGCCAACTGAAAAAGACTCCGTAAATAATCACACCATTTTACGGAGATTATATTTCATCCCATATCATAAACTCATTTCATTTGATTTCATCCTAGTTGATTAATGTATCAAATTAATCATTTCATTTCACTCCATATTATCATTTTTCATAAAAATATCTCATATCATATCGTTTTATTTCATTCCATTTCATGCTGTTTCACATTAATCAACTTCATTTCATCTCATAATATCATATTTCATAAAAAAATATATTATATAAAAGATTAGGCTGTATGGGATGATACCTTTGCCTTTTCATTTGGAAAAATCAAACTACTATGTACTACTGGACAGGAGTGGTGAATCCAAAGTAATCCAAACGTTGTGTATTTATCAACAAAAAAAAAACAAGAAATATAAACTTTTAAAATAAGATAATGAAATCAAATACAATACGATTTCAGTAATTTTTTTAAAGAAAAATAAGAAGATTCTGTTCCTAGGATTTTGTTTCTGTGAATTTGAGTTAAACAGTGCATTTTTTAAAAAAAAACAACGCAACGCGACTGCGATGGCAGTAACTCTTAGTAAAGCTTTGGTATTATTCTTATCAATTTCTTTTCTAACTAGCACTGCCTACAAATATTTCTTACAAAAGAAGAAGAAAGAGAAACAGAAAGAAACTAACGAAGTCATAATGTTTTCGTACGAAGAGTGTGAACTAAAGAAGAGTAAATATTCGCGGTGCACTATCACAAAAAGCATGGACAGATTTTTACACTATTTAGCTTCACCCAAGTACAGTCTTGATGTATGTATTTACGTTTTCACCAACTCTGATATTGCGAATGTGTTACTAAAACTACACTACAAAGGTATTAAAATCCGCATTATCATAGATGCCGACATGGCATACTGTACAGGTTCAAATTTGAGAAGAATGGAGCGTCAAGGCATACCTGTACGCTGGATGAAGTCTACAAATCTAATGCACCACAAGTTCTGCATAATAGATGCAGTGAATATAGATGATGTACACCCTTTAGTAATAGCAGGGTCATTGAACTGGACCAATCAGGCACTTTGCGGAAACTGGGAGAATGTTCTGGTGACATCACAAGCTGATCTTGTAAACCAGTTTAAGACTGAATTTGAGAAACTTTGGTTACAGTTTACACCAATAACCAGTTAATATTTGTATTATTAATTAGTTTATTATGGATGACTAAAATTAGTTTTTAAGAAAAAAGTTTATAAAATAAACTGCGAAAGTGCTTCTAGGTACATATTGCCTATATGTTAAGTCCTGTTTTATAAATTGATTAAGACATAAGTGTTTAGTGTAGACCTTAGACACAAAAAAACAGGAATTAAGTTGTAATTATTTGACTAAATTTATTAAAAAGTTTTAATGGTTGGCAGCAGCATGGCTCTGCCTCTGGCATTGCTGATGTCCATGGGCTATGGTAACTACTCACCATCAGGTGGGCCGTATGCTCATCTGCCGACAAGGGCTATAAGGGATAATGTCATCTTAAATAACTATTTATAATTTTGGTCTCAAGTTAAACAAAAGATTGTAAAAGTATTACAATACCAAGATTTACTTTATATAACATATTTTTTAGGAAGTAGACTTTTAAAAACAAAATAATATAACAAATACCTAATCAAACTTATCTATAATTATTGAGGAGTGGTATTCAGTGGTCGCTGTCTATTCATGTGAGAAATGAGCTATACACACTTTCAGGCCTTAACACGTTCAGTAGGCATTCTGTTTTAATAGAATTTTTTTTGTTGACTTGATAGCCTAAGGGGCTATTTGAAGTACCAGGAGGTGAGCTTATGGGGCTCAACTTGGAAGGACTTGGTAACACTAGCTTTATTAAAAGCAGTGCTTCACTGAATCTACCAGATTTGAATCACAACCAACTGAGTAGATCTGGTGAGAAACTGGGGGTTGTGTCTATGGGCTAGGTTGCACCTTGATCTCGGTCGCATTTGACAAGTTTAAAAATGTATACATATCTCTTTTACATTAAAGCAAATTGAAGTTACTGCCTCCACACAACACAAATCTAGATCGTTCATAGACCGCTACAAGGGAGATTCTGCATATAGTCTTAAAATGTTGCTTCTAGATTTTATCTATAAAACAATTTTTTTTACGTCATAAATCATTAAACTTGTCTTGTTTGGTGCAGCTTCTCACACATCCTCTTTCACACCATCCAGCGAAAGGTCAAAAGGTCTCCCCCCTCACCTACTTTAACTCAGGTGATTTAAAGTTAATCTAAGTTAATTGTAAGTTTTTAAATAAAACTATAGTATAAGTAAATGAGTTTTTTTGATATACCTAGTCTATATTAAAACAAAGTACATTTATGGTGTTAAATTTCTTTCACCCATTGTTATTTGATGTTTAATTAAGTTCAAAATATTTTAGTTCATCCAAAATTTAATTTAAAATCAATAACTAAATTCCACTTGAAAAGAAAAAAGCGAGTGATGTTTTAATCTTTTATAATCATAAAATATTACTTATATCGGTTTAATTCACACTAAAAGCAAGGAATTTATTGAAATATTATTGGATCCCTTTCATACAGTTTATTTCAGAATTAAATTAACATTAGATATAGGTGCCTAATTCGCATTTTACTCTGTACTCTGTATAGCACGTAACCGTAACCACCTAAAGGTCTCTGTCACCAGGTCATTAAATTAAAAAAAAAGTAACCGTAACCGCATATTATCTATGGTAGCCGTTATATAATTTGAATTAGTGGGACTTTTTGGCGGGAACGCGAGGAGTGAAGTTGTGTGATTTGTTTTATTTTGTCTATTTCGTGTTTCTTCAGGTTTAAATGTGTAATAACGGTGGTTTATTAACTGTTTAATATCTGTGAAATTGCACAAATGTGGGAAAATGAAACAAAGCCGCTGGACATAACTTCTCGGAATCCTCCAAAAAGTCTACTGAAAAAATCTCAGTAAATGACCACAATTTTACTGAGATTATATTTCATTTCATACTATCTCATCGCATCTCATTTAATTTCATCCCAGTTGATTAATGTCACAAAATAATTGTCTTCGTTTCATTTCATTTCACTCCATATTATCATTTTTCATAAAAATAAGAACATAAATTAAAATAAGACATGACTTAAAGGTCATAGTTACCAGGTCATAAATCTCTTTAAAAAAGTTTGAATTAGTGGTGTATATCAGTTCTCAAAAAAATCCACTGCATGCCGTCACCGGTCACCGCTCCCAACATCTGCGGACCGTCAAGACTCAAGACCTACATTCACAGTTTAAGCAAAAGAAGCAAAAATAGATGTTATCTCTATTTACCCGGAAATTGCGGTTAATGGGGACGAAATTAGTGTTCATGGAGAAGTTTGCTAGGGCTGGCACTACTTGGTTTTAATTTATTTACTTATTTAATTGCACCAACAAACTGATCATCAATAAAAAACATTGCAAACTGACAAAAGTACATGGCAGATGTCACCTTAATTATAGGTGCAATCGACGGTCCATTGACAATAAATATATATATATATATATATATATATATAACTAAAACTTGATTACATTTAATTACTTATGATTAATTTATATTTACTTGGGAAATTATCCGAGACAGATTTTTCCTGTTAGTTGTGAGACTATTACAAAAAACATTTATTTTATCACTTAAAACTAGTTCAGCGCAATAGGACAACTCTAAATGAACATTGACGGAGACCGCGCTATCGTGGACATTATTGTAATCCCAAAGGATTCTGTTTAAGAGAGAGTACGCACCTATATTCGAACGAGCGGGCTTTCTTATAAGCGGTTTATATTTCTTGGTTCTTGGTAAGTACTTAGGGGCTGATATTTTTATCTGGGCTAAGAGTTTAGGTGTGTCGGATATTCCATAGATTAATCAGGTGGACACACTTACTCTGAACAAATATTAATAAATTTTATAATGTACTTAGACATTTTTGTCCATCTTGAGATTTCATTGTTCTTGTTACATGTCTGTGCAAAACTGACTTACCTATGTTAAATTGCTTAGCTATTTCAACGAAAGACTTATTCCCAATTTCATTGGCTTCTATTGCTGTTTTTAATATTAAGGGATCATATCTCTTATAGGGCTTTGCACTCTTTGATACGAATGCGCGAGGTATATCTAAAAATAGAAAACAGCACGATAAACAAACTGACAATATAAATATTTGCCAAACAATAAAATAACATTGCATTGATAATTTTGAATAAAAGATCTAAACAAAAACATCATGAATACGCCAGATGCTTACCAACCCATTTCAAAAAGATTGTTACAGCTACATAGACAACCCTACAAACCTGCACCTATTTATACTTAGGTCGTTCCCATTTAACTTATTCTCATCCCAATTGACCCCTATTTTGTTGTTATTTGTACCTGAGACGTCCCCATTATCCTCAAAAACAACAGATTTTTACATGTATTTTTATATTATCAAAAAACATTAAAACCAATAACAACTGAGACTTGCCTTTAATGTATATGATGGTTCAAACACTAAATACTTTTTACTGGTGGTAGGACCTCTTGTGAGTCCGCGCGGGTAGGTACCACCGCCCTGCCTATTTCTGCCGTGAAGCAGTAATGCGTTTCGGTTTGAAGGGTGGGGCAGCCGTTGTAACTATACTTGAGACCTTAGAACTTACATATATCTCAAGGTGGGTGGCGCATTTACGTCGTAGATGTCTATGGGCCCCAGTAACCACTTAGCACCAGGTGGGCTTTGAGCTCGTCCACAAAAAAATAACGTTTATAAATCACAGTCGTCTTCTATTATTATCAAATAAATAAAAGAGAGCAAAGTTTCTAGCACTAAAATAATTACCACCACAAGAAGCTAATTTGAAATGCGATTTTTTATGAGTTAGCAGCTATTATCATGCATATTCAGAGTTGTTTTGTGAACTTTCAACATTCTATTAATACACTACAAAAAATGGAAGATTTTGCAACGATTAAAAAACTAATATTGGCCGTTTTCCAATTACAGCACAAGAGCGCATTATGCAGCATAATGCTCAACTAAGCTTCAGCATAATTCGGCATTGTGCGTCACTGAGTCGCATTATGCTCTGTAATTGGAAAACTACCATTAAGTAATGGTTAATTGAGCGTCGAAAGTTTTTCCCGATTTTCCCCATTCACCTCTCAATCCTTAATCACCCCATTTACGGTACTGATAAGAAACATAGATTATACACTTAATATATGATAAATTATGATAAGAAAGTTCAAAGTCAAACTTTTGAATGTGATTTTATTATTACGTTTTTGTGAATTTTATACTATTTTCTGAATAATACAGGACAATATGGTGTCGGGATTAGTAGTAGGTCGCCTTGCTCTCGTTACTGGTAAGTTTGTGTTGGTATTAAGAGAATAATAACCGAGCACACAATTAAAAACTTATTTAACTGTAATTAAAGGCTTCGTCTAAAATATGAACTATATTGAACGTAAATTATTCCTTACATGCAAATAATTACTATCCTTGAAACTAACGATACAAAAATCAAGATTCGAATAGGTTAGTAATAAATATCAAAGGGTATCAAATATTTTATTTCAAATATGAAGTTGGCTGAAAAGTTTTAGAAGAATATAGGTGCTAAAGATTGAGAATCGGTACAGCTTTGCTCATGCTCACTCAAGATTGAGGTATTTAATATAAAAAAAATCATCAAGATCAAAGCTTCATTTTCATATATACTTTAAATAACTGAAGTCAAAAAGAACTGTAATCCTGTCCAACATGGTATGGAGAGCAATCATTAATCAACAAAAAAAAACCTTCAAAATCAGTGTGTTTTCCAAGATTTACATTCCTGGAGTAATTAATTAAAAAGAAAATGCTTAAACTACAATAAAAACTTATTGTACTAATTTAATTGCCACAAATTTATTTATTCAATTGTTTAATTCTCTCTATTTGAATTAGCAAAGATCTTTGAAGAATACAGTTATTACTAAAAAAATTCATTTACAATTTATTAGTACAGGTGCTGGTTCTGGGATTGGCCGTGCAGCGTGCCAAGTTTTATCCAAAGAGGGAGCCACTGTGATAGCCGCAGACAGGAATTATGAAGCTGCTGTACAAACTATAAAAACTCATACAGCATTAGCACCTGGTACTAATGGTTTGTGAAATTTCGATACCTATGTATTTGAGTACTTGGGAATATTCACTCTTTCTTATTTTTGTTTAAACTTCTCTTTGCTTTCTAGAATGGGACTAGAGTGGAATAACTATTCGGAATAAGTGTTGATTTATGTATTCCTGTTGCTTATGTGCTCTGTATCCGTAGGTGGTGAGGAGCATAGTGCTGTGGAATTAGACGTTTCCAACAGTAAAGCAGTCCAAGACCTGGTACAAGATACACTGAAGCAATATAAAAAGCCTCCTTGCATCATTGTCAACTCTGCCGGCATTACCAGGGATAATTGGATGCTGAAACTCTCAGAGGAAGACTATGATAGTGTGCTTAATGTAAACTTGAAGGTGGGTAAATGTAAAGTTTTATGTAAGATTTATGTGTAAAATGCCTATTGTTATGATAACTTTGTTTAGTTTGTTGTGTGGTATGTAATATAATACCATTCAAAAACAAAAACTGAATATGGTTACCAGAACCCGTAGATATCACGGTATATCACCCACCATGAGACCTGAGGTATTGTAAAATGGCTGACCGAAACAAACAGAATGCGCGACTGCCTGGTGGCAGAATTATGTAGGGTGGTAGTATCCAAAAGCTTACCTCCAGTAATTATGCAAATTTACAAAATTCGACATTTCGATTTTATGCCATGTGTTATTCAATCATAATATTAATATAATTAATATTAATATTAATTAAAATAATTTTGAAGTCGTCGTGGCCTAAAGGATAAGACATCCGGTGCATTCGTATGTAGCGATGCACCGGTGTTCGAATCCCGCAGGCGGGTACCAATTTTTCTAATGAAATACGTACTCAACAAATGTTCACGATTGACTTCCACGGTGAAGGAATAACATCGTGTAATAAAAACCAAACCCGCAAAATTATAATTTGCGTAATCACTGGTGGTAGGACCTCTTGGGAGTCCGCACGGGTAGGTACCACCACCCCGCCTATTTCCGCCGTGAAGCAGTAATGCGTTTCGGTTCGAAGGGTGGGGTAGCCGTTGTAACTATACTGAGACCTTAGAACTTATATCTCGAGGTGGGTGGCGCATTTACGTTGTAAATGTCTATGGGCTCCAGTAACCACTTAACAACAGGTGGGCTGTGAGCTCGTCCATTCATCTAAGCAATAAAAAATTTCTTCTTTAACACATGCTAGCTACCTATGAATGCTCCGTTAGTACCTACCAGCGAGAATACCGGTATAGTCACTTTGTTTGATACCAGTACACTGTGCGCCTATAATTCCTTAGGACATGACCACTTCATTAAATATCAACATTAAATCTACAGGGTACATTCTTAGTGATGCAGGCATTTGCAAAAGCGATGGCCGAGTCGTCAGTGTCGGGTTCTGTAATAAATATCTCTAGCATTGTTGGAAAATACGGAAACATGGGTATGTTTATGTTATGTAAATTAATAAAAAATTATTCATGTAGTTGATGAATTATTATAATATTTAGCAATTTTGTATATTAAGGAAATACTTTGAGTGTTTTTACCATGGTTGTTTTTATGTCAGAGATGAGTCATACATAGTCAGGGGGGAGTCTAGTGGTCAACAAAGACTAATTTTAAAGAGGGTAGATAAGATCCTAATATCTCTGGAAGGTATAGGTATGGAGCTAAGTCTTTGTATGAAAAAATGTCCAACCAATTAGACGCGTGTAGTCCAAATAAAAGAAGACACATTATTCACTGACAATACTTAAAAATTGAATATATGTGTGTTAAATAATATTAAACCTAAATGTGCATAATAATATGTGTATAAGTAGTTTATTCTATTGATATTATTATAGTAATGTGCATTATTTAGTGCAATGTATAACGTATTTGTATAATAAATTTAAAAAAGACATATTTCTATGAATTCTTTGTATAATGCCGGCCACTCACATGTGCGCAAATATTCGTACAATTTACGAATGTTTGCGCGCATGTGAAGGGCCCCACTGAGTTTCTCGCCGGATCTTCTCAGTGGGTCGCGTTTCCGATCCGGTGGTAGATTCTGCGAAGCACGGCTCTTGCTAGGGTTCGTGTTAGCAAGGTCATCAGATTTGAGCCCCGTGAGCTCACCTACAAAAGTTAGGGTTACGCTGAAATAGCCTCTCAAGGCTCTCAGCTTAGGTAGGAAAAAAAAAATGTGAATGGCCGTCAAACATTCATTCGCAAACTTAGCGGCTGTGCATATGGGTTCGGTACTCAATTTGCGAACCCGTTTGCGCTTCCTCCTACACTTGTTTACGAATGTCTCACGAATTTCTCCTCCTTTTTAATTCGTCAATAGAACATTGAAGAGAAAAAGAGTTTTGAATTCTTTCCCAGACATCATTAACAGACATGCTGTTTTTATGGGATTTCTTTTGATGAAGATACACTACACAGTAGACGTCACGATCTATGAAAATAGCGAAACGTCCGTTGCCTCCGCAATCCTGGGCGCAACTGGTCACACGAATGTGTTGGAGACTACGCGAAGGATCGCGGTTCGCGCGCTTTGATGTCTGGTAAAAAACCGACACAGCTTGGAAAACCACGAATGCAGCGAAAACTTTCCATAATCATTTGCAAATGTCGTCCTACACTTGCGGGTTTGCGTATTCGTGCGAATGTGAGTGCCGGTATAAGAAACAAGAATTCTTGAAAATTTCATTGCCCTACTACATACCTAGTTATTTTTCTTTCAATATTCTTTTTTGTTCTTTGGCTGAATGGAAGAAATCTCTGAGCGATAAGAGGGCCTATAGTGCTTTACTATCTTACAGGGCAGACAAACTATGCGAGTAGCAAGGCTGGAGTGGTCGCGATGACTCAATCCGCAGCCAAGGAATTAGGAAAATTCAACATAAGGTCAGATATGAGTCGACTATTATCAAAGGCGGCAATCTGACTTTTGGACAATGATTGGTAAATCAGAAAAACGAATTATTGACTTTGTATTCCATTGGCAGTCACAAAACTCTTCAGAACGACATCTTAGATAAATAACAGGTTAACTATTAACCGTTATTTAATGCAGGTTTTGAACTGTATTCTTTGAAGGAGACGATTATATTCAAATAAATCTGTATTGACATATCAATAAAAAAAAATTGTCCAAATGTACAGATTGCCACCTTTGATAATAGACGACTCATATGTAACAATCTGTTTAATTATTGTAAATTGATAAATAACTATTATTATGCTAATCTTTAACTTGGTATTATATATACATTTTCATAGGATGGATGAGTGCTTGTGGTTTTGTTTATCGACTTTAACGACGGTGGAGTATTACCGAGTTTAGTGATTACTACCCACATAATGATGTATTTGGAGTCGTCTTGAGATAATAGGCCGAAGTTTCAACTGTTTTCTATAAAACCTATACTGTCAATCAGTAGTATACCCGTGCTAGCTTACAATACGCCTAGGAATTACCCAGGCTTGAAATTTTTGTGAGTTTGATTATATAGATGCCATTCCCTCCCAATAGACACAGATCACTGAGTTTCTCGCCGGAACTTCTCAGTGGGTCGCGATTCCGATCCGGTGGTAGTTTCTGCGAAGCACCGCTCTTGCTAGGGCTAGTGTCAGCAAATTCTCTCAGGTTGAGCCTTTGAGCTCACCTACCCGTCCGGGCCTAGCTGTAAGCCTGTAGTCTCTTAGGCTACCAGCGAATAGGTAGAGAAAAAAAAGCTGCCATTCCGTGATTGTGATATTTATTCGTGAACATCTTTTAAGAATTTTTTTCTGTTCTATATATATAAATAAAATTGGAGTGTCTGTTTGTAATATTGAAATAACAGTTTTTACTACATGCATATGAATATATATACGGTACATACACCAAAATAACATTTTTTATAATTTTTGTCTGGCTGTCTGTCTGTTCCGGCTAATCTCGGGAACGGCTGGACCGATTTTGACGAGACTTTCACTGATAGGTAGCTGATGATATAAGGAGTAACTTAGGCTACTTTTTTTACAAGCTTCGCTCCGCGACGTCACCCGCGGTACGACAATAACCGCGGGTTACATCGCGGGACTCGGCTATCAATAATAAAGTTTAATGTTTCCGAAGCGAAGCGAGGGCGGGTCGCTAGTTAGAAAATAAAGTTACCTACAAAACATACGACTAGTTTATGTTTTGTAGGTAATAATGACTCTGTCACATCTAGGCTAACACATTTTAGTTCTATAAAAATTATCATTTTCAGGGTGAATGCAATCTTACCTGGATTCATCGATACACCGATAATAAAAACAGTCCCTGACAAAGTCAAGGAACAGATTATGAAATTAGTCCCACTAGGACGTCTCGGTAATCCTGCAGGTGAGTTAATGACTGTGTCAATGTGGTCTTTATGATTAAAGAGGTCGATGACCGACGTCGTTCTTGTTAAAACAATAAATAAATAAAAATCGTTTAGAAATTAAAAGGAAAACACAAGAAACAACAGAAAACAGCAAGACGAACCTTCTGGTTAATCGAGTTAGATGTTAGTGCTAAGTAATAATGTTATTGTTTTGCCATCGGTACTTAATGAGTTTTTTTTTAGTTTTTTTTTATTGCTTAGATGTGTGGACGAGCTCACAGCCCACCTGGTGTAAAGTGGTTACTGGAGCCCATAGACATCTACAACCACACACCTTGAGATATAGTTCTAAGGTCTCAGTATAGTCACAACGGCTGCCCCACCCTTCAAACCGAAACGCATTACTGCTTCACGGCAGAAATAGGCGGGGCGGTGGTACCTACCCGTGCGGACTCACAAGAGGTCCTACATCCAGTAATAAAGTTTGCAAATTTATTAGTTAATCAGCTATATCGAAGTTGGTGAAAATAATGTTGAAAGTTACCCGTACAAAGGTCAAATTGTTAAAAGCGTGTTAAAAAGCTAAGATGATGAATATCATTTTCACACTAACGAAAAGTACTAAGCAATAAAATTGAAAATAAGACATATTTTCACCTTCCACTACTTGTTTAACGATTTGATTTGTTCTCACATTGGTTTGATTCGATATTGATTAGCAATGGATTATTATATTATATAGCATTTTTTATGTAATCTTACATTTAGATTATTGTTTTGAAAAAGAAACGAAACTAAATTAAAGTATAATATTTCATTTCCTCAAAGCAGACATTAGGTATCTCTTCACTTAATAGAAAAATTCATGATTCATATGATTTATTAATCTGATTAATAATTCTTATAAAAATTTGAAGAAAGAAAGCATAAATTTAAGAAATTTATTTACAGAAGTTGCAGAGGTAATCGCCTTCTTAAGTTCCGACAAGAGCTCTTTCATCACTGGTGCTGCTATTGACGTCAGTGGAGGGTATTAAAAAATAATTATAATCCAGCAAAGTATAAAGTTTATAATGGCATTGACCAATATTTATATAATATAATGAACGAGTACTTAGTAATGTAAACTTAATAGTGATATAGTCTGCGTTTTGGGCAACTCCACACAATATAAACTCAAAGAATTGGTTTACAAAAGTAACGCACTGAGTTTCTCGCCGGATCTTCTCAGTGGGTCGCGTATCCGATCTGGTGGTAGATTCTGCGACTGCTCTTGCTAGGGCTAGTGTAAGCAAGTGGCCAGGTTGAGACCCGTGTGCTACACATTCGGTGATGCTAAGATGCCCAAGCGTTACAAACAAAAGTTTAGATAAGTACCTGGTCGGTTCGCACAATGAATTTGTCACAAGCGGTAGGCAGCGGCTTGGCTCTGCCCCTGGCATTGCTGAAGTCCATGGGCGACGGTAACCACTCACCATCAGGTGGGCCGTATGCTCGTCTGCCTACAAGGGCAATAAAAAAAAAAACTCGCTAATACAAACGAGTATGAAATATTAAACAAATATCGACTTAGGCCTTTGAACAGTGAAACAGATTTTTACGCTTTCCTTTTGAAGCTATTCATGGGTTGTTTCAGGAACTTAGGGCATTTAAACTGTTATTTTTGAATTCAATATTTACAAATTTTTCTAATGAATAAATATGTTTAATACATTAAAATAGATACAGTTTAAAATAAAAATAAAAATGTAAATTAACTTTATACCTGTATTTTACTATAGGCTAATAATAATAGCTAAGCTATAAACCCTTTTATTGGAATCAGAAACAATGTCTTCCCGCACCTGTGATATTTTTTCATTACCTATAATCAAACATAATAATGATGTACTGTAACTTGAGCTTAAATAAAATGTTATATTTGTGTTTTAGTGTTGTTTTTTTTTCAACCTTTCATGGTTACTTTGATGGTATATACCTATCACTAGATAAGCTTACGGCCAGTCTTAAGTCTTGAACTGTCGTGATCATATTGTAGTATCACTTTTATTGTGTAACGACTGTCACCATTCTATGAGCCGAAATGGGTCTGCTTCTCAACAGAAATAAGTCACACACACGGGAAGTTTTATATTACTTAGGGTAAATGACCTCACGGCGTCCCTGCGCTGTTCAGTGGTTTCCGGTAAGCCCGTAGACGTCCACAACATAAATGCCTAGTAATTGTAGTCGTCGTGGCCTAAAGGATAAGACGTCCGGTGCATTCGTGTGTAGCGATGCACCGGTGTTCGAATCCCGCAGGCGGGTACCAAATTTTTTTAATGAAATACGTACTTAGCAAATGTTCACGATTGACTTCCACTGTGAAGGAATAACATCTATACTAATATATAAATCTACAGTGGTTTTTACGGATGTTCCGTTATAAGTACTGAAGCATGCATCTGATTGAATTGAAACTTGGAAACCATGTAGAAAATATATGTACGTAATGGATAGGCTAATATTTATATGTTGCGGGGGCGTTAATGATGAGAATCTTTGGAACTCATATTATTATGTCAAGGTAGGTGACGGCATTTATGTTGTAGATGTGTATGGGCTCTGATACTTAACATCAGGAGAACCGTGAGCTCGTCCACCCACCTATGCAATAAAAAAAGTTTCATGCTCTGTACAACAGTTGTCTTATTCTCAAAATCGAAACGCTTTTCTTTACGGAAAAAATAAGAGGGTAGTACTTATCCGTTCAGACTTACAAGACCCTACCACCAGTAATCAACTACTACATATCAGATAATTTTTGGCAGAGAAGGAAAAATAGTCTTCTAAAATTGACACATCAAGAATGTCACTTAAAATTTTCAACCATAAAACACAATTATATTTTTCCACAAAAATTTCGAAGTACATCAAGGGTAAATTGGGCCACCATAAGGGTTTTTAAAAAAATGTTAATATGAGCAATTGGTTTGGCATTACTTTTTTTATTCTGTATACAATTAGTTCCTAGAGCACAAAGACACTTCAAAATCAATGCCAATGCTCCTCAAGAGGCAGTTAATTGGAAGTTTCAAATGCATTCTTGCAACACTTAGTTGTTTTTTACTTTTTAATCGGTGGATAGATTTGCAGTTTAGGCCTCTGGTATTGTTTTGGCACACATGACTTTGCATAAAAAGGCATATTAATATCAATTATTTTATGTGGTGTTTGTGAGAATAGTTGTTCTAGGTAATAAATATGAACTCTGCTCTGATATAATGATAACAAGCAATATAATTTTGGTAGAACACATAAAAAAAAATGCGTGTATAACCAACTTTTTATTGACTACTAGATTTTTTAGTTTTAGTATTCTTAGTTTTTAACTTATTTTTCTTTAATTCTGCTTTATTTTTTTGTCTCTTGTCTCTCATGAACGTTCTGTATTCTGTCTTTTTCTTCTCATCAATGATTTCCTTGTATTTCTTTTTATTGTATTTTTGGAATTCAGCATCAGCCAGGAGTTCTTCTACCATGGTCCTCTTTCGTTGCTTTCTTGTTACACGTTCATTGACATGATCAAGTGGAGAATCCATGATTCGGCCAACCTGAAAAATGGGCAATAATTTAAATCTAGTTTCTTGTATATGGGCATAATTAATGTAAGTTAAGTAAGCTCAAGGCTAGAACTTAAATAATAACGAAACTTAAATAATAATAAGGGATAATAATACAATATGTATACATTCATATCTAACATACCTGAAAGTATTTGGGTAAAACTTTCATGTCATTCTTCTTATAGAAATGTTTCGGATCTAATGCTGATCTCATCTTGAGCACTTGCAGGTCATTCTTAAGATCTTTTGTCACTTCAGGAGCTGGTAAATTAAACCACTGTGAGCCTTTCGTCTTCTCGCGTTCCCTCTGAAAATAACAAGTAATGAATAAATGCAATATTTTCCAATGTTTTGATTTCATAAAAATTGATGTCAGCATCAACAAATTGTCATAAATAAAAAAAGAATAAAAAAACTAGTAATTTAATTTTCATTATGGAAAACCAACCTTTAAAATAGTAAACTACGTGTAATTAGTATTATGATTTAGAATAAAAATAATAACTATAATTACCTTTCGCATTGCTTTCAGTTGGTGTTTATTAACATGATACTTTGGTAAGCTGTGTTGTTTTTCCAAACCAGGCTTTAAGACAGATGTTTTCATTTCTTTTTCCACATCTACAACTCCAATTTTAGATTTTAACTGGCCAGTTTCAGTGTCTAGTTGGTCAAAGTGAAATTTCAATTTATTTCCTTTATTTTTAATAAGGGACTGTGTCCAATTCATATCTGAAAAGAAATCCTCAAATTGGCTGTCTAGTTTAATGCTTTTTAACTTTTTCTGTATTTCTTCCTCTGCATCTTTTTGGGCATCGAGTTCTTGTTTCTTTTTATCAAACAGTTGAAGTATTGCCTTTGTGGTTTCTTCTTTTTCTGAAAATATAGCCAGATAATATTTAAATATAAATTAAAGTCTGTTTTTGGTTCTGAAAGTTTTCTTGAGGTTGTGTATGGTGATTTACACTATACTAAGTCTGTAACATTTGTTTTCAATTTGCTTTGCAAACTGGCGCCATTTCTTCGTGCAGGGACGTGTTTGTTTCGCTATCGAAATAGTCAGAATGGCGGTACCTATCCGTGTAGACTCACAAATTATTATTCTACTAGTATTTACTAGTACCCAATTTAGGAAGCAAGACGATTAGTAAAGTTAAAAAGATTAGGAATAGGCTGAGCTAGTAGGTGAGCTCACGGGACTCAAACCTGACGACGTTGCTAACACGAACCCTAGCAAGAGTCGTGCTTCGCAGAATCTATCTCCCGGAAATGCGACCCACAGAGAAGATCCGGCGAGAAACTCAGTGGGCTGTGTGTGGGTCAATTTACTCGCCGAGCCCTTCGTCGCAAGCGACGGGTTCGACGAGAACGATGACCGGTTTAACCAAGTACCTAGGTAATATCTTAAGATTATATATATTTATTTATACCTCATTTTACTTCAATATATTGATAACAGTTTTTAACTAACCTATAAAATAAGGTTTATCATTTTTTTCAAATAACTCATCCTTCAGCTGCAGATCATCGTCACCAGCGGTGTCGATTATAAAATCCATTATAATATATATTATTCTAGCGTGCACTCGTACGGGACATTTGAAAATATATATGATTTATTAATGATAATGTATCTACGATTTGTTTACAAAACGTACATAAACCACATTTATCGAAATGTGACAGCAGTGTAGCGAGTAGTGACAGTAGAAGTCTAGTAGTTCTATTTTTCCAACAGGAAAGGCCAAGGTATCAAACCATACAAACTCTTTTGTAATTCTGTATTACCTACGAAAATTGGAAGCGAAATATACTGATTAATTTGAGACATTAAATGATTGGTATGAAATGAAATGAAACAAAATTATATGGAATAAAATATATTCTGAGTAAAATGGTTGTTATTTACCGAGACTTTTTCAGTGGACTTGTTCCATTTTCTCACATTTGCGTACTTTCACAGAAATTAAATAGTTAATAAGCCACCGTGGCTACACATTAAAGCCTGAACAAACATCAAATTAACAAAATAAAACAGTTCACCCAGCTTCACTCCTCACGTTCCCGCCAAAAAGTTTCATAAGCCTTTGACAGCTGTAGCAGTTCCATTTTTCCAATACAAAATGGCGAAAATTTCTTAGTATACAATCAAATTTATGAAGGGGAGAATTTATAAAGAGTACCGTATTGTGGGATTAGTTGAAAAAGTGTCCATTTGTAAATATTAAAACAAGTTGCGAGTGAAGTGTGTTGGGTAGGAAATTTTAATTTATCGTGGCTTTTGTAGTTAATAAATATACAGTAATTAAAATCTCAGCTATTTTTTATAATTTTATTTATGTATGAAGTGTTTCTTTTCTTCATATTTTAACCTAAAAGTTTAAGGCGCAGTTTTTAAAAGCTTTCCATTTGCTAATATAGCGCCTTTTCTGGGAACCCTTTTTAATACACTGAGCTGATCATTCTTACTTCTACCCTCCTTCTAAATCATTTACTTTGAAATTGCGGAATTTCCTAAATAAAAGTTTGAAATATCTAACAAAATTTTTACGGAGAGACGATTTCGTTTCAATTTATCTAATATCTACTTTGTTGTTTTATTTCATCTAATTTCGTTTCAATTTATACAACAGACATGGTTTCGGCCTTTGAGACAAAACCTTTGACTATGTTTTTTACGCTTGTTCAATGCACGAAACAATTTAAAAAGAAATATTCGTAAATCATTACCTGAATTGGTCTTTTTGGCTGGAAAGCGAGTTGTGAGAACTGTTTTATTTCCTTAATTTTTCGGGTATAAGTGTGTTTTTTTTTATTTTTTTATTGCTTAGATGGATGGACGAGCTCACAGCCCACCTGGTGTTAAGTGGTTACTGGAGCCCATAGACATCTACAACGTAAATGCGCCACCCATCTTGAGATATTAGTTCTAAGGTCTCAAGTATAGTTACAATGTAGTGTAGTGATATAGTAGTGTACTGATCGTGGATAATTAACGAACTATCTGTCAAAAAGTGATTGCAGATCTCAGAGGTATCAAATTGTGAATGAACCACTCATTTGAAGACATGAGCACAATGTCTTAATTGTATCTTACAACGGCTGCACTAACTCTCAAACTGAAACGCACGACTGTATGTGACAGAAATAGGTAAGATTGTAGTTCATGCGGGCTTAAAGTACAGCCTACTACCAAAACATAAATGATATGCTTGCAGCGATGGATAATCAGTGAAAAAGCGTAAAGTTAAAAAAATTTAATAGGACATAATATTTATACAGTGAGCAATTTATTACGATGTTCTAATATTTGTTCTACTCAAAGAAACATCTACTCGCCGAGGGGCTCCGACCAATTAATTGGTTGCCCAAAAAGCTTTTCAGTCTTCCGTTACTCATTGTCTATCTTCACCTTTGAACCGGCTCAATGACTACAAATTAGTCAAATTATATGACTATACATGACTAATATGTTTAGAAATGGATGAAATTCAGTTCCACATATGTCGTTTGGTACTTTGATGTAGAAATAACTAAATCAATAATAAAATAACTGTACAGTTTGCTAAGTACAAGTACCTATATGATGCGTGTTTTCAATAGATAATTTTAGATTATAATAATACTATTAAGTTTCTCTAGGAAAGATAATTTGAGAGAACAAAGAGAAAAAAATCATTAATATTTTATTTTCCAAGAGCTATCTTTGTTTTTATTTTACATAATATAATAGGTTGGGGAAAAAGTTTCTTCGCATTTTTTAAGAAAATTCACAGCATTTTTAATATAGTTTATTTACATTTAACTAAAGTATGTAGGTACCATTTTGTTCGATAACTTTTTGCCATCTTGTAGGTAGGGACATGATCCCATTGCTATAGAAATTTTGGGGCTTCTGATTAAAATACCGCGACAATTGGTTTTGGCAGTCCTTTTGTGATGTTAAATTGACACTGCGTAAAGAATTCTGAAGAGACCGAAACTGGTGGAAATCTGATGGTGCAAGGTCAGGAATATACGGCGGATGCATTAACACCTCCCAGCCAAGCTTTCTTAATTTTTGGTGAGTGGCTAAAGATGTGTGAGGTCTAGCGTTATCATGATAAAAAACCACACCCCTTCTATTGATTAATTCCGGCCACTTTCTCTCAACTTCTTGCTTTAATCTCATCAGTTGTTCGCAGTAGAGTTCAGAATCGATGGTCCTGTCTGGTGGTAGCAGCTCATAATGAATAACGCCCTTCCAATCCCACCACACACACAGCATCACCTTGTTGCGAGTTAACCCGGGTTTCGCCACAGTCTGTGAAGCCTGACCGGCCTTTGACCACGACCTTTTTTGCACGTTCTTGTCGTACGTGATACACTTTTCATCACCAGTTATCAGCTTCTTCAAAAATGGTTCGGTTTCATTACGTCGTAATAAAGAATCACAAATGAGTACACGGCTCATTAGGTTTCTTTCAGTGAGCTCGTGAGGTACCCAAATATCGAGCTTTTTTGTGTACTCAGTTTTTTTCAAATGCGCCAAAACTGTTTTGTGGTTAATTCCCAGTTCTTCAGCTACGTCGTAACTACTGATATGCCGACCATGCTCCACTTTTTCAAAAATGGCATCGATTTTATCCGTAATAAGGCGACCAGAGCGACGTTTTGACATCAAAATTTCCGGATTGAAAACGCTTAAACCAAATTTGTGCTACTCTCACAGACACTGCACTAGGTCCATAAATATCGCAAATTTTTTTCGCGGCTTGCGTTGCATACCTCTTTTGTAGTAAAATTTTAAAATGTATCGAATTTGTTCATTAGATTCACTCATTTTGACAGTACGAAAAATAAATTAAAATCACATATTTTCCTAATTTGAATTTGGAATTATCTTCTCTAAAATTTAAACTTTTAATGATACCAAAACCAGCCAGATACAAATAGTATAGCCAAAGAGATTTTATTACAAGTTCGTACATACTATAATGCGAAAGGACTTTCCCCCCAACCTATTATGTATATCCACATTTATTTTGTCTTTCTGTTATTTAGCTACGTTCATGTGCAGGGAACTTTAAACTTTAAACAAAACGTAACAAGCGACCGAAGGTCCAAACTCGATATTTCATTTTCCGAGGGGATTAAATTTTATTCAAGGTTGAAGCTAAGGGTTCGTTGAGGCCCCTCGGCGGTCGTTATTGTGTCGCGAGCGGCCCGAGGGTCCTTCACCGCACCCGTATCTAAGAGTTTTGGTGTTGTTCACGCTTCTGATCTTCACAAATCAATACCTGAGTGGTATGAGATTTGGATACGCTTTTTTTATATTTTCGTAAACACGTGTTTACAAATTAAATAGGAAATGATTAGTAGGAATTTGAAAAAATAAAATGAAAGAATCAATTTGGAAGTTATTAATAAAGGCCAAACAAATACGATAATTTGTTGTCATGAAACAGTTTTTCTATCTCTCAAACAGGAACTAATAATTGATTCTCATCAGAATTAGGTAGGAACGTTGTGCCTACCGTAAGAGCCTAGCATCTTTCCACCAGTAAGTACTCAAGACGGCGTCAGGAAGTTGAATGGGAAAATCGTCAAGAATACAGCTACTTCTCGGTGAAGTAGGAGAACGTTAGTTATAGAAGTAGCTTGAGGACAGTTGGGTCGTAAATCCGTGGACGAGGAGAGAGAGGAAGTAAATAAGATGAAGGTTTATCTAAAAATTATAATTAAAACTACTTTTACGCCTTATCTTGCGTTTTTTATTGCTACTTTAATATTAAATTTCCAATGCTTTGAATAATTTATAGTTTTCGTGGTTACAGACGACCACGACACATATGATAATGCCAACCACCATGTTATAAAAATATTTCTAAGCATTTGATTTCACATAGAACGAACTAGCAGTGTCTGGAGGTTTGTTTGACTTGGGTTTAATCACGTTTAGAGAATTCCATTGTTGAATAAGCTACAATAGTGATAGTAATAAAACGAGATTAAACTCTAGAAATAGTTTTAGTTTAGTCCTTAGAGCCACGAAAGCCGAAGAAAAGAATTACTTCGGAATGTACTTAAGAATTTTTTCGGAATATTGTTATCCAAAAGAAAATAAATTTCAAGAATATTTAAATGTCCATCCGTCCTCACCATAGAGTTAACTCCATGGTCCTCACAAATTCGTTGACTTAGAAACTTTCGGTATCTATAAGGTAATTATTAAGGTAACATATTAAAAGATTTGGTACTTACATAATTGCCAACGAAACCGCCAAAACATTGAAGTCGTGTGAGTGAGATATCTTTATGTTCTCGCTACGCACCGATCCCGCTTTATTTTCATGTTTAAAATATTCAATCTATACGTAATTTTACAAGCGATTTTCGCGCGTCCTCCACAAAATGGCTCCAGTGATGTTATTTTATGCCACATGCAATTAATTACTCAGGAAACCTGTGAATAACACCTATCAAATAAAATATTTTAACTTCACAATGTAAAGTTTGAGTATCAGTGTGCTTAGTGCGAGTTTTTTAACGTTCTCGATAGCGTCAAAGTTAACCGAAT